ACAGCAATTGGGCACTTGCCCTAGTTAGGGTCCCCCAGAAGCAGGTCCTAAGCCAACAACTTAGATGCAACTGGGTCACTGGGGGGAGACCTCAGGAAGGTCCATGGAGATGGGGAGAGAAGCAGATGGGGTGGACACAGGGTGTGTAAATGAGCAATCCACTCCCTTGGGGAGCTCACGGAAGCAAGTGGAGCAGGTCTCAGAGTCGGCAGATGAGAGGGCATCCCGCGGCAAGGCCCTCCCCAGGTGATAACTCTGCTTCAGCACCGGGGTTGTTTCAGGAGCCAGGGCGTCCAGGGCACCTGCTCCTCGTTCTAGTTCCCCACAGGTGAGAGTCACAGTCATTGTGGAGGAGTGTTGCCACCTGGCCTGACAGCAATGCCAGCTGCAGGGGTCATGTTCCATGTCAGCCTGACTGGACCAGTGGGCCCCCAGGTGCTTGGCTAAACACCCCTAGGTGCCGGAGGGTGCTTTCAGGTGAGATGAAGGTTGGACTAGGCAGATGTCTCCTGGGTGGTGGGCCTCACCCAATCCGCTGAAGGCCTGAACAGAATGAGAGGCCTAATCTCCCCTCCGCCCTAAGGGAGGGCGGTTCAGCTGGGGCGGTGGACCTCCAGGCTGAAGCTGGAGGCCTTGCCAGCTCCCTACTCCTCTCATGAAGGTACCCGCGTGCGGACAGTGCGCATGCCACAGACAAGGCGAGGGCTGAGAGGCCCTGCCTATTGTTGGATATCTCCTTGGTCTTGTTTCTGTGGAGAACCATGATGGACACTGCATCCTGTGGCCATGCCATCTGGCCGGCAAGAGGTGTGTGTTCAGAGTCTCTTCCTGGGCATCTGCTTCCTTGGTTCCTTCTGTCCCACTGCTGTGGTTCGGGGCCTGAAAGCAGACTCTCTACGGGGGTCAGGTGGACTACTTGTGGGGAGGCAGTCACCAGGCGCTTGGAGGAGGAGGAGGCCAGGTGCAGCTGCAGTTGTCAAGTGGCAGCCGCCTGGGGGGGTGCAGTCCCACTGGACCCTGCCTTGTTCCTGGGCTGCTGACAACCTCACATCCTGGGTGGTCCAAGCAGCAGAGGTGTATGCTCTCACAGTCCAGGAGCAGCATCTGCACGCAGGGTCGTCTGCATGCAGGGTCGCAGGGCTGTCCCTGCGGGAGGCTGAGGGAATTCTGGTGGGCGCAGTCCTTGGGGCGCCTTCTCCAACCTCAATACTCTGTCCTCACACGCCCTCCCATTTTGTGTCCATGTCCCATCTTCCCTTTCTAACGGGGACACCAGCTGCTGGGTTGGGGCCCACCCACCTCACCCAGGACGGCCTCTTCTTGCGCACATCTGCAAAGACCTTCTTCCGAATAAAGTCCCGTCCATGAGTGCTGAGACTCGGGACCTGAACGTATCTTTTGGGGGACACAATTTAATTCACAGACAATGTGGGGAGTCACCAGGGCCCTGCCTTGTGAGAGGGGGGAAGCCGAGCTCCCTCTGGCTCCACTCAGGTGCAGTGCCAGGACCTCTCTGGGGCTCTGGTGTTGCCCTCCATCTGTCCCTGTGGACCCTGTCGTCGCCATCTTCAGCAGCTCTCCCCATTCCTCCGAGACTCTGTGTTTCTCTTGGGCTCGCCCAGTCTTGACAGTCCCTCTGTCAGTCATCAGCGGGGGTCTAGAAGAGGCACTGTCCTCTTCCCCTACCTGGGACACGGGCACCGAGTTCCTACAGCAAAGGCAAATAAAGGCTCACGTGTTTTCTGCCGTGTACCAGTTTTCAGCACAGGGAGCTGGTGCTGCAGCATGCTACCAGGCAGACCAGTGGCTTTGGAAGTACTGTTATGGATTCATGGCGTCTGAAGAACACACTTGATGCCTTTCAATTTGTTACTTCCTCTCCCAGGTTCTCTCCTCGTATTGGGGGACCGTTTCTGGGGAGTCCCTAGCATTTCTGAATATCTCACAGAGGTGCTACAGATTTCATCCCAGACTCTCCTTTCAACATGTTTTATAGCAAAAAGCCTTGAATGATACAGATATTTCTCCCCGCCCAGACAGAGGGCAATTTTCTTGCTGACCGGCACATTTAAAACGATGGCCCCGTGTGAGATAAAGTCTGGGCAGGCTTGCCTGCAGTCCCTCGAAAGGCTGGGATTTCCTAAGGCCCTCGGCCGGGGCACAAGGCCACCGGGCCTGCAGCCTCCACCTGGCCCTCTGCCTGGCCTCCGTGGGGCTCAGGAGAAGGGGCCCCAGTAGGAAGCTGCTGCTGCCTGCACAGCGGTGAGCAGTGAGAGCCTCATCCCTGGTCCAGGTCTCAGTCTCCTGCAGGCAGCCACAGAGATGCTGCTGGGGATCAGCTCGGGCAGGGCAAACTCTCAGGCCCATCCCTTCCGGATCGTGCTCCACTCACCTCCGGGATGCGGAACCCCTCACTCTTCCTTCCCAGTGCGCCCCATGAGTTTTATTAGAAAGCAGAGTCCTGTGTTCTGTTTCACTGCATCCAAAGGGATTTATAATTTCTCTTTTGGTTGTTTACTTTAACCAAATCTTTATATATAGGAAGATATGTCTTACTTGCCAAGAAATTGAAACTTTGTTGACCTTGGATTCTGATTAGGCAATTGAGCTCATAAATTCCTGCTTTCTAAGCTTTGCTAAGATTTTAAATGGCCCATGAGCACATAAAAGAATGCATATACTCTGCTCAGGAAAATATGTATTCACAGTATGCAAGTTTCTGAGCTTCCTTTAAAAACTTTTTGTTCTGAAATACTATTAAACTGTTTTTAAAAAGTATAGTTTCTTTGTGCTGAACACCCACCCCCCCTCAGTGACAACGACCCACAAAACCAGGGCATTTTTCAGATCAAGTACACTGAAGTTAGTTCAACATTACTAAGCAAGCTAAAGACACTGTTTGGATTTTTACCTGTGTTTCCTTGCCTTGGTGTGCCTGTGGCTTTCTGAATCCCGTCCCAGGATAGATTTGTGAAGTTCCACTACCACAGGGGCCCCCTGGAGGGATCTGTGCTTCAGAGTGCGCTCCACCCACCCAGCTTCCTGATCCTTTCTGCCTCCACCTTTTTTTATCTGCTAGATCTGTTGATCCACAAAGACATATTTTAAAATCAAATTTCCCTTCAATTCCACATGGTGTTAGGAATGTATCCATGATACCAAATGCACAGCTTGATTGAGAACTTCTCTATCTTTTTCATACATTATGCCTTCAATCAATTCACAGCTTTCTTTGGTCCTGCTTCTTCAATCTTCAGCTCATTTGATAATATTTTTTCATTCCCATTTCTTTTTTGCTAGTGTTTACCTGACATCTCTTTGCCCAAAGGCTAATATTCAACCTTTCTTCATTACCCTAAGTTTGGTGATGTAAATAGCATGAATTGGGGCTACTTTATGCCCATTTGACAGTGTATCTTTTTAGAGCAAAATACATCCACCAACATTTAGTGTACTGACTGCCACACTTCATTCCATCCTTCTTATTTTAAATAAGTTATTATTTGTTTTTGCATCATTGTTTTCTACTTTCCTTACAATATTCTTGTTGAGTTGTTCAAACTTCTCTTCCTCCCACTTGTTGGACCTTCCGTTAAAACTTGGAGAGCACATCCTAACTTTGCAAGGATCGTGTGGTCATCTCTGCTTGTGTTTCTCCACTGTCCAGGGGGCCTCGTGGTGCTTCCTCCCCCCCTGGGCTTGCCGTCTTCTGGCAGCACACAGCCACCAGCAAGATGGGCCTTCAGAAGGCTGTCTTGTCCTGCCACCGGCCCATCCCTGCTTCACAGCCTAGCTGGGCAATGAAGGGCTTTGGCTCCCCCTATTTTCTTCACCCTAAATTCCTACATTTTTTCAAGAGTTTAGTTATTTTAAATCATGTTAGAATTCCTCTTGTAGAATATCCCCTCTTTTCCAGAAGTTTCTATTTAGCACTCCTATTGCACATTCTTAAGCAATTTAAATCATAATTGACCTCTCTGTCTCCGTTCTTTCTCCAGCTATATATAAGTTGTGGGTGGGTGGGTGTGTAGGTGGCTATGTCATTGCTCACCTGTGTGTGTCCTGCGTTGAGGAGACTCTACCTGAGGATGCCTGTGAGGGCTGAGCCCTGGCCAAGGTGTGAAATAGCCAAGGTAGGAATCAAGGACAGGGAAAGAGACTTGTCCTTCTGTGGTCAAGCCCTAGATAAACATTGTCTTAAAAATAGGTAGTGCTTTGAGTTTTCTTTTAAAACACTATTTTTTTTTTACTTGCACTTCATGCAAAACTTAGAATTATCAAAAAGTACTTTTTGAAATAGAATTGGATGCCAGCAGGTGACCGCCTGGTGACAGAGCTGCTGCCACCCTGTGCACAGGGAGAAGCCAGGTCAACCCTCTGTGGAAGCCTTGCTCTGTGAACGACTTCATTCACTGGTGCAAATTCACTTCCAACGGGAAACGTGTTTAATTGTGCAGTTTCTGCTCTTTGACTTATTTCTAAAAATAAAAAATAAAAAGGCTCATCAAATGAATTATGGCTTTGATTAATTGAAGTCCAATTTTAGAAACCACAACTTAATGAAAATACAGAAGTCCCTTAAGAAATGGGCTCTGCATGCTTCATGGGCTTGTTCAAGTACTAGATTTTAGTACAGTCCACCTGGGAGGAAGTCCTACTCCCCACAGAGCCACTCGGAGCGGGGTGGGGCAGGAAACCAGGCAGAGATGAAGTCAAGAAAGTGAAACTGTGGGTTCAAAGAAGAGCTAAGAAAATGAAGAGTAGAATGACCATGGAAAGTTATCAATTATAAGGATTCAGAATGACAGAAAGGCAAAGAGGAAAGGTGCTGGGAGGAGGTGGTGCTCGTGAGCTGCCAGGCCAGGTGCCAGGGCCACGGGAGGCCAACAGTGAGGCAGAATCAAGGCCCTGGGTTGAGGAGTGCTCCAAACGAAGAAAAGTGACAGGCGCAGTGTTTTCCCAACAGCATGATTTGATTGGTTGATTGACCAGCTGGAGCCCAGGCTGAACAAGCTAGGCCAGGGCTCTCCCACTGAGCGACTTCGCAGCCCGGCATGACATCTTAACGTTGGACAGTGGAAACTCTCCACAAGGAAAGAGCGCGGTGGGCTCAAGCAGTAGCTCTATGGATCATGTGAGATCAGCAAGATTAGAAATGTGAAGAATGTGAAGTGTATGAACTAAGACCGGAACTATCTACAGCAGAAAAGATCAGAGGGGACCATGACCAGCACAGGGAAGTGCCACGTCAGGGCACTGAGAAGGAGCATTTGCTTCTTGGTGTGCAGGTGCATCTGGGGCTGCCATGGAGGCTGGAGACCCAGCCTTTCCCAGGATGTGGTGGTGCTGCTCTTTACCCTGCACATTCAGTAAGAACAAGGAAACTCCCCAGAAGAGGCTCACGTCTGTTCCAGCACCATCAGCTCTCAGCTCCCAACCCAGCCTTCCACACTCTGTTGGGATGGCCCCTGCCCCCTCTGTTCTCCTTCCTGGCTGGCTTCCAGTTATATGCCACCAAGACTGGGCACCCAGAGTGGGACCAGAAGCTGAGCAGGGAGAAGAGACACGCTCCCTCCATGTGCATGGGTGGCCCTGCCAACCGTCCACTGCCAGGGCTCTCACAGTGGTCTTCAGTGTTTCCTAACTCCCTGGAAGCAAGCCCCGAAGCCCCCAGAGCCTTCAGCACCAGCTGGGCAGCCCCCTCTCCCAAGGTCTGAGCCCCACAACTAGGTGGCATCCTCCAGACTCCAGGGTTGCCAGCACCTGGCAGTCCCCCCTCCCAGGGCTAGGGCCTCAGGCCTCAGAGGTCTGCCCTCCCCTGAAGTCTGATGGCCCACCCCCATCCCCTGCTGACAGCTGTGTCCTGCTGGTCACCTCTGTGTAATTGCAAACCCCTCTGCTTTGTGGCCCTCCAACACCGTGTATTGATCGACCCCTTCCTTGGGTTAAATTCTGTCTGCTAAAACTACCAATGTGGCTTCTGTTTTCCTGACGGGACCCCGACTCATCAAGGAACATAAAGTGAGGACACCAGGCAAGAGGAGGTGGCTTCCATGCAACGAGCCAAGGAGGGTTGCAAGGGAAATTAGAAGTCAAGAATATGTGGCTCATGAGAAAAGTCACCAGGCAAAGGAAGGAGAAAGAGAATGGCGTCTCAGGCAAAGGAGAAGGGAGAAGCAGAGCTGCCCCAAGCCCAGGCCAAGAGCCAGGGGCACTGAGAATGGCACAGCATCCCTGCCAGCCCTCCACAGGTCATCCCTGATTCCGTGGCCCACAGACCAGGACACCCAAGCTATTCTGAAGAACAGATTATAAAAATTTCAAGTCTTCCTCCTTCCTTCCTCTCCCAGATATAACCATGGTAAGCATTTTCCTTTATCCTTCACAAACGTTTCTGCACAGATTCTATGGTCTGAATGTCTATCCCCTTCAAAACGTGCCTTGAAGTTCAACTGACAAGGTCACGGTGTTGGGAGTGGGAGGAAAGTCAGGCCTGGGGCCCCTCCCATGGCCCAACTCAAGTAGTAAAGCGTGAGTCCCGTCCCTTTGCCTCTGCTCCCCGCCTTCTGCCATGCAGACACAGCAGGTCAGCCCTTGACCTCGGACTTCTCAGCGCCCAGAAGAGTGCCATCATCCATTTGTTCTTTGTAAGTCATCCCGTGTCAGGCATTCCCTTGGCAGCAGCAACCAGAGGCAGCTGCTCTTTCTCTGCCTCAGTGCTTTACTCCTGGGACAGCTCAGGAGTCACCACAGCTCAGGCTCCCATCATGCCTTGAGAATGCGGCAAGAGGAGCCTGCTGTGCTCTGGACACAGGGGAGGGGAGGCGGTGCCACAAAAGGGCGGAGGAAGCCAGCGCCCACCCTGCTTCCCACTGGCAAGGGCATTCTCTTGCCCAGGGACCTGTCCATGCTCAGATGTCCCCGAAGGAGCCCGAAGGAGGTTCAGTGAGCCTGGGCACATTCACAGAGGAGGGTGAAGAGCCGTTTCAAGCCCAGAGCTAATGGAAATTGGGAAAATATCTTTATGGGGTTCATTTTTTCCAGGCTGGACTGTCCACTGAGATGCATGTGATGCAGACAAAGCCATAGAAGGCAGGATGGCCCCTCTGGAGCGTCGGGTGCCCTCGCAACCAGGCTGGAGCTGGCAGAGCATGCCAGAGGGAGAGTGGCGCCTCAGGCGATATCCACACGTGCAGCCGGATCTCACAGTTTCACAGGGATCCTGTTGCTGCCTCTGCGGGGAGGTGGACTGTCCTCAGGACTTCTGGCCAGCTGGTGGAGCTACTCCAGCTGCCCCTTCCTCGGTGCAAGGCACCTGCCTCAGGTTACAGGCCTCCTCCCGCCTGAGTCGCAGCGCTGTAAGTCATACCTCGGGACCCCACAGTCTGAAACAAGGTGCGGGGGGTGCCAGCCTCACCAGTTCCCCTCCTCCAGGTTGAATGAGGGAGCTGGGGAGAGGGAGAGAGCGTCCTTCAGAGTGGCACAGTGACTGTCCTCCCCACATTTCCTCCACAGCCAGGGGCTGGCACTTGGCCTCACCCAGCCAAGAGCCCCAGGCCGATCCCTGGGTCAGTGTGGGGGCACTCACACCCTGGGTACAGTGGGGCAGGAGTGTTCCTGTGCCCCAGGCTGGACAGGGCCCTGTAGGGGAATCCAGGCTGGAACCACTTCTGATGTGGACATCGGGAGAGGGGTTGGACTTCAAAAGCAGAGTCAGGGAATTTCCAGTGCTTGGGGGCTTTGGGAGCTTCAGGGCCACTTGGTGGCAGGTCCCTCAGGGACACCCACAGCTAAGAAAGCACCTGGCTTGGAAGAAGGCACCAGTGCTAGGTGCAGAACTTTCCTTCCTCACCTGTGCCCTTCCTGTCCCCTGGGGTGGAGTCAGAGGCTGCATGGAGGGCGGAGAGTGAAGAGGCCCAACCTGTCCCACCCCTACCCCACCCCAGTCCCGAGTCCAGGCGGGGACAGAGCTGGGAGAGGAGAGAGGCTCAATGCTAAATAAGAGTGTGAAGGTTTAATATTAGCCTGGCCTGGGGTTTTTTTGTACCTAACAACTGTGTTGCTTTGTTAACACCTGACAATGACCAGGAAGGCCCGGCTCCTGCCCTAGATCTCCTGAGCACTTCTGGGTGCCTGTGAAGAAGGATGGCAGCTCGGCTTCAAAGGGCTGGGTGAGAAAGAATAAGGCTGCTGTGTCTGCTTTATCCCACCGAGTCAGCTTGTTAATAGACCGGCCACTGCTCTGTAAATAGGACGCTCGGATAAAACACCTGCAGCTGGAAAGTGGAGCCCACGGAGCAAGAAGTCAGCTTGGACTCCAGGGCGTGAGACTCACAGGGACCCCCGTGCTGTCGGGACTCTTGCAGGGGTGCTGGCAGGGGGACTTCAGGGGCTAGTGGCCACACCCACCGTGCGCTTCCAGCCAAGTCCAAAGGGCCACCTTATTCCTACCCCGTCCCTGGCAGGTTTGACTCATTTGAGCCCACCCCTTCCTATTCACTGCCGAGCTGCTGTGTCTAGTCCTGCAAAATTTAGATGCAGACTTCAAAACAACATTTCCACAAATAAGTTACCACTGGGTTAGTGGTCTAGGGCCACCATGACACACCACAGAGCAAGTGGCTTCAACAACACACCTTGATTTCTCACTCTTCTGGAGGCTGGAAGTCCAGTGCCCGCGTGGTTGGGTCCTGCTAGGGCAGACAGCTGCCTTCTCCTGGTGTCCTGGCAGCGGTCTTCTTGTATGTGGTCGATTCTATGGGATTAGGACCCACCTTTATGGCTTTCACCTTAATCACCCACCTTAATTTTAAGCACCTCCAAACGCAGTCATGCTGGGGTTGAGAGACACAATCCAGCCCACCCCCAATCTCCCATGCGATGGGCTTCCAGATCCAAACGCTCCTGCACTCTGTCGTCCTTGGACTGAAACTGCCACCTCCTACAGCTCCTCCTCTCAGCTGGACATTGGCCTGGCTTCAGTTACTAGAAAATCTGGAGGTCAAAATGGCATCAGCCCTTTCCTGTCCAGAGTCTGGTGTCTCCCTGCTGAAAGGACCAGGGCCGAGTCCTTCCTGGGGAATCACAGACAGCATGAGCTCAGACGGGCGGCCACTCCCAGGTCCCCCCCTTCAGGTTGGTGTTTTGGAGCGCAGGTGGAGGGGCAAGCAGGGATGGCTGCAGCCTCGAGGGGCGTGTGCTGCATTCCACATGGGCCAGGTGCAGCAGAGCCACTGTGGGCTCACGTCATACCGACTTACAGGTCACGCTTAGGACGGCCCCAGGATTCCACACCAGCAGGATGAGCAAGTGCCAGGCTGCCCTGCACATCAGACAGCAGAAGGACAAGCCACCGGGCAAACCAGGTGTTCTGGTTTGGATGTGAGGTGTCCCCAAAATCTCCTGTTAATGCAGGAATGTTCCGAGGTGAAATGATTGGACCGTGAGGAGCATTGACCTAATCAATACCTCCCAGTTTGGATGGACTCTGGGCGGTAACTGGGTGGGTGGGGCAGGGCTGCAGGAGATGGGACACTGTGGGGAGCCCTGGAAGGGCATCTTCCTGTGGCCCCTTCTCCCTTCTCTCTGCTTCCCGCTGCCTGGACTGAGTAGCCATCCTTCCCCACGCCCTTCCGCCTCGACGCACAGCCTCACCCAGGCCACAGCCATGGAGTTGGCCGTCTGTGGACTGAGACCTCTGAAACTGTGAGCCAAAGCAAATTTTTTCTCCTCCAAGTTGTTCTTGTCAGGTATTTTGGTCAGCAGCAAAAAGGACCAACATGAAAGGATGCACCAAGTGAAGATGTGCAGCTCATTCTTACATCAGGAGTTCACTGGCAACCCCAGGGTCATAGACTGAATGAGATCCTTTACTTATTTACATTGACACTCTAAAATCACTCCCAATGTATCTGTATATTTTACATCCTGATAGTGTGTGGTGCTCTGTGCTCAAGATAACCTACTAAAACCACAAAACACACCCTCTACAGCTGCCTTGGCAGCCACCCTGAGGCTGGGAGCCACCTGGGAAGTTACTTGAGGGCGTTTGGAGCTCTCGCACTCCAGAGAGCAGGTCTGCCTGGAGTTTTGCTGCCTGCCTGCCAAATGCCCAAAGACAGCCACAAATACCTATGAGCTGGAGCAGGTGGTGGTGGGGTGTTGTAGCCTGCATGGTTTTAAATTGACACTTAAAATTTCATCATAAGTTAAAATGGTGGCAAAGGATATAATCTGAGTGTAGTAAAGGCATTGACTGAAGCTCACATCATTTCTTTGTACCCAACGGAATCTGTATGCCATGAAAATCTTGTAGCACCCTCACCCATTTAGTAATGCAGACAAGGTCTTCTAAAAAGTCTGAATTTCACATTCTGCTTTTCCCCTTAAAACTGTATTTTAATATACTTTTTCCATGGAATGGATCTTGATGTAACGTACTTTCGTTCCTGAAGTGTGATGACTCTAGCATACTTCTCTGCAGCCAAAATACATATGTAAGTAGAAACATGTACGTTTTAGGTGTGATCATAAAGCTCCGAGTGTCAGAAGCACTTATTCTAGGCTGTGCTTTTTTAACTTTTACCAGTGCATGATTGATAAAACAGTGCAGCATGCCAATTTTATTATCGAGAGTTACATATGAAAAATGGTTCTGGGGAGATTGCTAGGATGAGGCACTGGGGCCACTTCACCTCTGAGTTTGGTGGCGTGTCCACTGTGGCTCAGTCTCTGCGTTTCCCTGTACTGTGGGAACCCGGCTTTGGCTGACATCCGGCTCTTGTTCCCTGAGATCATCTCAAGGTGACACTACCAGGTTGGGTCCCTGCATGTGCCCTGGGAGCATGAGGGTGAGGGATGTGGGGGGTGGTCACAGGGCAGTGACCCTTCCTACTCAGCACAGCCCACCTGATGCTGTAGGGGGGCTACCCTGACATCTCTGAGCCTCACAGGCTCCCAGGGTCTCAGCAGATGGCCCCCTCCCAGCAGGAAAGCCCATCCACCGGGCTGGGCCCCCATCAGCTGAGAAAGGGCGTCATCTAAGCCGTTTGTGCTGCTGTAAAGGTAGCACAGCAGGCGACTCACAAAGACAGGGAATCCATCTCACCATTCTGGAGGCTGCAAGTCCAAGAAGAGTAGCAGCTGGCTCCTGGTCAGGGACCCAGGTGGGAGCACAGGACCTCTCCTGCATGGGCCTTGTCCCACTCTCAGGGAGACCCAGTTACCCCTTAGAGGCCTTGCCTCTTAATGCGTCACATTGGCAACACCTGGCTTTAGGGGGGACATGTGCAGACCCAGCAGGGATCCAGCCAGACTGGACAGAAACATCAAGCCCATCTGTGGGAAGTGGAAAGTTCCTCACTTACGCCTAGAAGTAAAACACTCGCTGTTCTCCATTCTCTTCAGCAATAGCAAGAGTCAATCGCAAAAGCAGAAATCTAAAGAAATGAAAGGTCTAAAGATCTGGAAAAAAATTATTTGATCTACATATGATATAACTGTGTGCGGAACCTCTGCCTCCTGAAGTCAGGACTGCATTCAGTTCATAGCCTTTGCACAAGTCTAAGCTCAAGCTCGTCAATTTTTTTTTTTTTTTGGCACCAGGGATTGAACCCAGGGGTGCTTAACCACTGAGCCACATTAGGATCTTGCTAAGTTGCTGAGGATGGCTTTGAACTTGCTGTCCTCCTGCTTCAGCCTCCTGAGCTGCTGGGATTACAGGTGTGCATCACAGCACTCAGCCCAAGCTCATCAAATTTTAAGACTGAATACATACAGGGTTTCTGTATATCAATCACACTGAATAAAACTGTTTAAATAGGAAGCCAGTCAAACCAGGTGTGGTGGCCCATGCCTGTAATCCAAGCTGCTCAGGAGATAGAGATTGGAGGATCACAAGTTTGAGCCAGCCTGGGCAACTTAGTGAGACCTTGTCTGCAGAAAAAAAAAAGGGGAGGGGGTGGGGGCTGGCAATGGCAATATATTTCAGAGAGAGAATCTACTGAGAGAGTTCATATCCCTTGAGGGACAGATATAGATCTGTTCACAGCTTCAACATCCTGGGCTTGCTCATTGCTCCCAAAATAGCAACAGGTAAGGCAAACCTGGGAACCTGGAAATTGCCTCCATAAGGAGGTGAGTATTGTTTACAGTGGATCTGTCACTTCATGCAGAAAGTTGCAAAGAAGTTCTCTGAATCTGCCTTTCCATCACAGTGTGGTTGTAGTCACTGCAAAGATTTCAACACAGCTATCCCATGAAATGTGATTGGCATTCACGCAGGCAGATGGACTTAAGATCACTGAGCTGCAAAATGCACTTTTATCACCAAAGCTGTGGAACATTGGCCCAAAGTAGCCCCATGTGCCCCTGCAGCCCCAACTCCCTCTCGTCCCCCAGAGGTTAGGGTAGGTGACCTGTGCTGAGCAAGTGTAGTTATGTGAATAGAATGTGGGAATCTTTACTGTGTTCAACAAAACGGGGGACACAAGTGGGTCTATGCAAGATGGCAGCAAGCCATGTTCACCAAACTCTCCTGTTTAGGAATGCATACAGAGGGAGTTCTAAATATTTTTAAGTTCTCATGGTGATCATTCAACTCGGGTTCTGTGGTTAACATATTAGAGTTCCAACTTCATTGACGTGTGCATAAGAATACAATCTGTATGATATCACTCTGAAATTTGTGGAGACTGGCTTTATGGCGTAGTGGGGAATTTCTTTAAATGTTCCGCGTGTTCTTGGAAAAGATGCACATTCTTAAGTTGCTAGGGGTGGAGTTCTAAGCGTGGACAAAGAGCAAGCTTCCCCGTCTTTCGAGTAGATGGCTGCATCGTGGGCACTCTGTTCTGTCTGCGGATGCCAGGCAGACACGCGGCCAGTTCCCCTGCAGCGCTAGGGGCAGAGGTGGGCTTGCGCTGGCTCCCTGTGTGTGCCCCTCAAGTGGCAGCCGTGAGCTGGCCTGTTCAGGGGGACTCCAGCGGCCGTGTGCAGCCGCCTGACGCTCTCTCTGCTCGGGGATGCCCTCTTTGCTTCTTTCTAGCCTTTCCTCCCATGGTGGACACTGCATATCACATTTACTCATCTGTTTTTCTGCAATGTCTGATTTGCCATTAATCGCTGTGATTTCCATTTCTGGACACCTCATTTTGGTGGTCATCGTGCCTCCTCTTGCTGTGCTTAGTCTGTCCTTCAGCTCCTGAGCAAACAGAAGGTACAGTCCTGTTTCAGTGTCGTCTCCTATTCAATCTATCATCTGGACCACTTTGAGTCGATTTTGATCTACTGGTTTTTCTTCATGGCTCCCGTTTTCCCGCTTCTTCACATGGATCACAGACATTGCGAGCTTTACCCTTTATGTGTGGATGTCTTAAAATTCCTGTCAACAGTCAGGGCTGTGTGCTGCACGCAGTCAAGTCACTCAGAAGCTCCGTCCTCTCGGGGCTTTTCTCAGACTTCGTCAAGTGATACCAAGGGGACATTGATTGATTCCAGTGACACTTTTCCTCTTGAAAATAAGTCCTTGAACACCTCAAAGAAAGAAAACTACAGACCAATATCTCTAATGAACCTAGATGCAAAAATCCTCAATAAAATTCTGGCGAATCGGATACAAAGGCACATCAAAAAAATTGTGCACCATGATCAAGTAGGATTCATCCCTGGGATGCAAGGCTGGTTCAATATACGGAAATCAATAA